CTAGTGCAGATGGCACTCCAAACCCGCGGAAGAACTTATGGAGCGGCTGAAGGCCAACTCCCGCCTGATGGATACGACTTTAATCTCAGCACCACTAGGGGTACGAACCTCGGCTCAGGCCGTCGTAATTTCATTTGAAATGAAGTTAAAACATATAGGCGTATAACCTTTAAACACGTTTAACGACTTTATAAATAACATAATGGGAGATTAACAGTAATCCCTATCTATTTCTGTATATAAATGAACCGGCTCGACGTTTGAACTTCACGCGGGGCTAAAATTAGAGAAATCACTTTTAACTGACGCCGCTATGATATGGGCGGTGTTGTCATCTTTATTACAGGGTTTTTTTAATCCATGATAATGGAGTGGTGCACCCGCCTGCGCTGACGGTATACGCTGGCGGGGCACCGGTGGAGGATGACAAGAATTTACCATGAATTTATTATGATTGTTTCCAGTGGAAATCGCATGTTCAACCTGATATGATACATTGACAGCAATGATGCTATTAATCCATAGTTTTCAATAAATACAATAAAATAAAGTATAGAAAAATTACACTTAAAAATAGTTTTAATCATTACAAAATTGTTAGCTAGTAAATAAGTAACCACAAAGTAATAAATATATTTATAACTCTATGCAATGTTTACTCAAACATCTTATTGCAATACTAGCTAGTATTCCCGCGACTTCGTCCGCGTGGATTTAAATTTATTTTTTCTAAAATAAAAGAATTTTTCCAAAATAAAAGTAGCCTAAGTTACTCCTTATTACATTACCTACCTGCCAATAAAAGTCCCGTCAAAATCGGTCCAGCCATTTCAGAGATTAGCCGGAAGAAACAGACAGACAGGACCAAAATGGTAAAAAATGTTATTTTGATGTATGTACCACATTTATATTCATATGCATGTAGTAAAAAACGGTTATTTCAATATTACAAACAGACACTCCAATTTTATTTATATGTATAGATGAAATATAATGTATTTTATGATATTGCAATTTAATTAATAGTGAATTATAAATTCCTTCATAACTGCCTAGTTACAACGGCTGCACATTATATCAGCAACTTCACCTTGACCTAGTCAGCCAATATTATTCTTTGTTTAGAATTATCTACCTGCCAGTCAACCACATTTACTATGTCAGTTAAAAATTGTATTTAGAGTGCATTAGAATCTGTTTGTAATAATTATGAATCCATGGACAATTCACACTAGCAAAGCTTGTGTTATGGGTACTAGACAACTGATATAATTACGTAGCAATAATTTTTCTAAATACATATCTTATATATAAAATTCTCGTGTCACAGTTTTCGTTCCCATACTCCTCCGAAACGGCTTGACCGATTCTCATGAAATTTTGTGAGCGTATTGAGTAGGTGTGAGAATCGGCCAACATCTATTTTTCATCCCCCTAAATGTTAGGGGTAGTCCACCCCTAATTTTTTTTTATTTTAAGGCAAAACAATGTTTGCCAGGACAGCTAGTATACTATAATATTCTTAGATTAAGTATATTTAATAACTAATTTATTAATTGATCTATCAACACATAACCTAAAATAGTTTTTTTCTAATAGTATGCGTTTTTTATGATAATGTTAGATCTATATGAGAAACCAAATATTTTTTTTAATGGATGGCAATGTAATGGTTCACCCACTTGTGCTAACAGTTTATACTGGCAGGGCACTAGTGGAAGATGATAAGATGAACATGAGGTCAGGTCAGTCCCATCTTGACTAAATCACCAGGAATTAACGCAATCACTTCCAGGGTGGACCATTTTACAGTGTTTAAAAAGATTTTTGAACTGTCAGTACCCAGTTCTTGAAATCCTTAAATTAAAAATTTATTAACATTATATTAAGAATAAGGATACTCAGTTTTACGAAACCCTTAATTAATAACTCAATTAATTATTTATTATATTGGTTTGACTTTATTAATTCGTCATACTCGTGAATGGGTGCTGCTTGTAGGGACTGGTCTGCTCTAATCACTATGACTGATTTCCTCTTATTAATTGTTTAACCAGTTGTTGTGTTAGTTTGTATTCACACACTTAAACTTAAATTGTAAAGTAATAATAAAATTATTTAAAAGAGCAACACGCAAGTTTCTTGCTCATTCTTCTTGTGATGAGACAGCTTTCCGAATGAGCGGTAGATTAAAAAAATGTAATGACTATTCAAAAGTGCTTCAATGTAAGTTTATTTGAATAAATTATTTTCTATTCTAATTAAATAAGAAATAATTATTATTATTTCAATTAATCTAGTTAGTACTTAGTCTGTTGTATTTAGTGCTTTTTCTCTGCCTCTAGCGAGAGGAATAGAATATGATTAATAATATACTACTTATTTCACCCAGCATCACATGTATGGAATCTAAATTAGAAAACTTAAATTTGATAAGAACATTTAGCGGTCCCAAATATACAGAGTAACATTAATTTTTAAAATATTAGTATTAATAGATACAACAAGAATTATTAACTAAAAGAATGTGAAATTGTGTTGACTAGTTATGTATTTGTTTGTGTATTTCCACTCCTAAAGTAGGCACTAGCATAACCACATTTCTGTATAAAAATAATTATGTGCTAACGTGTTTGTGGTTAGGACCTAATGTGTAGGCAATACATACATATTATTATATGAAATATTCATTTACAAACTATTTACAATTTATATTCTTCATTCATTTTTTTTGTGTAAATAAGATATATTATCTTATATCAAATTTATAAATATACAAGAATATTTACATGAATTGTACTTTTGTTCATCTTGCCTGATAATTATTAATTTTTCTTCTTCCATGTTCCACATCAATTATATGAATTCAGACAAACCAATATTCAAACATTTTCTACATCTATACATATAAATAAAATTGGAGTGTCTGTTTGTAATATTGAAATAAATGTTTTTTACTACATCCATATGAATATAAATATGGTACATACACCAAAATAACATTTTTTACAATTTTTGTCTGTCTGTCTGTTTGTTACTGCTAATCTCTGAAATGGCTGGACCAACTTTGACGGGACTTTTTTGGCAGGTAGTTGTATGTAATAAAAAGTAACTTAGGCTACTTTTATTTTGGAAAAATAAAGTTAAATTCCATGCGGATGTAGTAGGGAGTACAGCTAATTATAAATATAATATAGATTCTTGTTATAACACTTAGTTATGGTGATTTGTGTTGCTTTTATAATGTCAAATATAACATTATTCTGCTGCTATTTGTGAAAGAAAATATTTTAGTATATAAATGAGGCACCACACTTTATGGGCCTTATCTTCTAAACCCACAGAATCTGATTATAGCTAGAATAATTATGTATTTAAAAAAGCAACACACAAGTTTGTTGCTCATTATTCATGTGATGAGTCTGAATTCTGAATGAGTGGTAGAATAAAAAAAAATATGACTATTTATATTCAAATAAACTCATTGCAAGCAGCATTATTTGAATATATAAGGGCTGACTGAATATAGAAAAGAAATAAGAAAAATATTGTTTCCTGCAGTGGATTAGTTCTTTTATAAATTGTGTTAATATATATTTCCTGAATAAGAAATACAGACAATAACCAAAAATTGTAAGTATATAAAAAAAAGGAGGCCACATTTTTTTATATTGTTTTCACGCTATAAAAAAATGTGACATACCCAACTAAAGTGAGTAACACAGGTGATTTGTATAATCTTTATTACCTGTAGATTTTATTTCAGTTGGCGAGAAGAATTATTTACAAGTTAAGCCACTCATAATCTTTATCTGTTTTTAATTTATTGTTAGAGATACTAATTTAGTAATTTCCCCATTCCTAATGATTTGCTATGTCAGATTGGACTACACAGTTCCTAAACTAGTGTGACTTTCTGTAACTTACTAAACATATTGAACAAATGACTACAGCTACATTTTACCATTGCAACTCTGGAATAAAGCAATGAATATTTCAGAGTAGCTTCCTCCAGCATACACTTAGATTGTGGAATGATCTACCTACTGAGGGATCCTCTGGAGACTATAGCATTGCTTTTCAAAAAATGTGTACTTAAGTTTCTTTAAAGTGAGCAACACAAATGTGACACCCCTGGTGTTTCAGAAGTCCAGAAGCTATGAATCAATCAAATATCAATATCATCTAATAAAAAATTCTTGCTTGCTAAAAAACAAATTGCTTAATTCCCTCCTTCATGGTACAAAAAAGCTACCTAACTAGCACAAATTGTTAGTGCAGATGGACGCAAAATTCCATAACCATTCTTTAAATAAAATATTTGTAAAAAAAATACATTAGCATATTTAACAACATAATAAATGAGCCTCTCTTACATCTTATTACAGTCCTGAAGTGTTTAATAATATTTAAGTAGAATAAAGTTGTGTGCAATCAGCTCACATATACAAACCAAAATATTATTTAATTTTTTTCTTAAATGGACTATAATAGAATAATATAGTATAACCAACAGTATAAGCTGATATATAACAATAGGCAATGATAGGATCAGCTATTATAAGCCAACTGATTTGACTTCATATCTAATTAGTTGGATTATTGTAGGAAATTAACTACAATGGTTTCCAGGGGAAGCCATGTAGAGGTAGACCTGACATTGTATATTGCTAGCAAAAGGACCATTTATCCCCAGTACTAACCATCCCTTCTCCCCTAGTGTTCAGAATACTTTTATAAACAACCAGTAACTAGAAATAGTCAAATAGACATGCTAGTCCAATTTCCTCAGATATAGGATATATAATTTCAAATATAAGCCTTGTTTAGAACTAAAAGTATAGAAACTACTCTAATATCACAGCATAAATATAGTATACTATAAAATATACTTGTATTATAACCTAAAATAACTACAGAAAAATAAATACACTTCACAATAATGCAAATATGTGGTCATTGGTATAATTGTATTTTTAAAATATGCTTCAGTCACTGACCTGAGGTAAGTTTGCAGCAATCTGCCTGTGCAGCGAGTCCCTCTCCTTCTCCACCTCCTTGAGGCGCAGCTCCGAGTCACCGAGACGCTCCTGCGTCTCACGCAGACTCTCCACCAGCTTATCTCGCTCGTCGAGCATAGACACCATGAGCTGCTCGAAATTGGCATCTTCCCCAGATAACTGAGAACTACGTTGGCTGATACTGTCTTCGGATATCGTGGGCATTACGTCGCACATCATATTCCACATTTTAATTTAACATCAAACCAGAATATTTAGCGTACTCACACCGAACACAATTTTTAACACTGTTTTATTACATATGTTCCGGCACAAACGTTACCTAAACCTAGCGCAGGATACGCGAGCACGTTGTTTCACATTGTCAGAACATTCTAATAAGAACTTTGTAAAAAATTCGGGAGACATTCTAGTTCGATATATAGAAAGACACACCTAAAAATCGTACTCCTACGATTTCATACTATCAAGACTCAAGCGGCATGTCTGCCATCTTGAATCGGAACGTCACTTGTGTCAAAGAGTAAAACTAAATGCAACAACTCGCAGATGGGTGATTTTATTTACGATTGGATCACTGAACAAGTAATCACTACCTCAAACAAGAAGACGTCTACATTGTTAACTGATTACTTGATGGTTAAACAACTCAAAATCACTTTGGATTAAGCTTGAATGAAGAAATTATTTCAATAATGCGTTAAAAACTTCACTGAGTTAGTTATATGGCTATATCGTATCTCATATGAAAATAATATTGTTTTCTATTTAAGTAAGATAGAGCAAATAAATATTAAAAGAAATACCTTAAGAACTGAATAACAGTACAATTTTAAACTTAAATTATAGTATGTGACTATATACTCTGACTACTAACCAGATTACTTTACAGTTTTAAGGAAAAAATACTATTACTTAAAAAATGTTTCCAATTGTTATATACTTCCATCGAGATTAGGGTTCATTCCCGGGAATTCTCGGTTCGAGAATTCCCGGGAAATTCATGGGTTTTGTTCCCGGGAAATCAAGCTCGAGAACTCGAGAAATCATGTACCTATATAGAAATTAAATTGCCCTTTGTTTTCTTGCGAGGCGGCGCAATAATTTAAGATATTAACGTTATTGTTTTCTTTCATGTTATTTTTTTTATTTTGTAGAAACTATTTTTGTTTACGTTTGTTTTTTTTTTTCTAAATAAGCAGCCAAAAATGGTGCTGTCATTATAAATGGTGCGGCGGTGGCTATGATCTAGCCTTCTTCGATGGACTATATTATTGTATAGGAAACTGGCTGGTCAAATATGAATGACTTACCCTTACTTCAATGTGCTTGTTCTTCAGTGGGCCCACACGGTTACGGGAATCTCAGGAATTCACTCAGGTTGATTACAACTATTAAGACATGCGTGCGATATGAGTGCGACGTGCGCGCGCGGCGAAAGCTATGACATCACTGATTATTGAATTAGCCGGGAGGGGTGTCAATGCACATCAACAAACCAGGTACGCATCGCGTTTGGCGTAACCATGCCCCCCGCCTTGACATAATGTCAAAGTAAAATTAACAAAAAAAAAAAAAATAAAGGAACTACATAATTGAACCTTATTGCGAATGCGACAAATACAAAAAACAAGAAAGAAAAAATACAAAAAATATCAAATGCGGAATTTACTAAATAAGAAAAATGCAAAGGATTTTAACTTAACTTATTAACCTATTATAAATGCGTACTACCTATCTTATAGAATACATATTATTGCAAAGGCAATGGACATATGCGGTGCGTTAGGAGGGATAAGGGTCCATTTAATTCCATTGTTAGCTAATTCCTTATCCCAAACAGATCTACATTCTTGCGATAAAAACAAATAAAGTTCACGTAGGTAGGATCGTGCCCCTATAAAATTAGTACCATGATCAGTATACATGCATTGAATAGGACCGCGGCGAGCGAGAAAACGTTTTAACGCGGCGAGAAAACAAACTGTACTCAATTCACTTGCGAGCTCAATATGAAAAGCCCGAGTGGTTAAGCACGTGAATAAGCAAACGTATGCTTTGCGAGTGGTTATACCACGACCGCGATAAGGGGTTACAAAAAACGGACCTGCGAAATCACAGCCACAATGGACAAAGGCTTTAGGAACTTCCTTCACCCTTAGTGCAGGCAGATCACCCATCGGTGGGAATGTAGGACGCGGTTTATTGCGGAAACAAATATTACAATTAGCTACGATCGTGCGAATCATACGTCGAGCTGCGAGAATCCAATATTTAGTACGTAATATTGACATTAACAATTCTGGGCCTGTATGCAGGTTTTTACGATGAAAGTGTGTTACAATTAATTGAACTATATGATCTCTGCCCGGAAGTAATATAGGGTGTTTATAATCGAAATCTTCATCAGAATGAGTCAGACGACCACCAACTCTTAAGAGATTGTCTGATAAAAATGGATTTAATTTAATTATTGATGCGGTACAAGGTTTTTTATTATTTAACTTGCTAATATCGTTTTTAAAATGAAACCCCTGCACAGCGCGAATAATTATACGTTCGGCGAAATCCAAATCGGAACTGGATATGACGCCGCGTGGAAGAATGTTAGCGAACTTATAAATATAACAAATTACACGAAGTAATTTCATCCATGACGAAAATTTGCGAGCGAGCGAATATAAATAAGGTTCCATAGAATCTTCAATGGTAACCAGTGCGATAGGGTTTTTATTTCCTTCATCGGAAGCTAACTGAGCTACAGTACGTAACGCTAAGTACGGGCTGCAACGTAAGCCAAATGCAACTTTATTAAATTCAAAGACTTGGAGCGGTTTATTAGGACTAAATCTATATACAATACGTTGAAAACAACGATCTTGCGGGCGAACTTTTATTCGTAAATACATTTGTCGCACATCAGCTGAGATGGCGACTGCGAACAATCTCATATTCAAGAGAATGATAAATAAATCCTGTTGTAAGGAAGGACCTGTATGTAGAATATCATTAAGCGAAAATCCAGTACTAGACTTCGCGCTTGCGTCTAGTACCGGCCTTATTTTCGTGGACACTTTGTCCTCACGTAAGACTGCGTGATGCGGTATAAAATAACTAGGGCTGTTATTTTCAATTACGTCTACGGGAGAAATATATTGTTTTTCTATATATTCGTGAATTACCTCATCATAAAGGTATTTCAGTTGCGGTTTCGATGCGAATTTACGTTCCAAATGATAAAATCTGCGTTTAGCGATATCGAAAGAGTTCCCTAAAGACTTAGAACTATACTTAAATGGTAAAGCGACTTCGTAGTGACCTGATTCGTTACGAGTGGTCGTTGTGGTATAAAAATCTTCACAGTATTTATCGTCTATACTTGTTATTGGTTTGCGATCTACTTCTTCAATCTCCCAAAATTTGCGAATTAATACTGAAACCTCGCACGAAGTGGTGGAACAGAACGAGAATGAAGAAGACGTAGAAGTTAAGGTGGGAGCTTCACCTAAAATAAGATAACCGAGAACAGTCTCCAACGCGTTTGGAGTACCAGGTGAATTTATAATTTTACCTCCAGACAAAAGGGTCGCGAATAGATTGACACCAATCAAAAGGTCAATTTCTGATGGTGTTCCCCACGTATCATCTGCGAGCGGAATATTAGTTAAGTAACTGAGCGCGCCAACATCAATTTGACATGTTGGTAAGTTACCTGTTATTTTATTCAAAACTAAAGCGCGAATATTATAATATTGCTCATGATTAAATCTCGATCGGAAAGAGAGATCAACTGCACCCTTAACTGGTTCAGTGGCGCCACCTATACCCTTAACGGTGGTATGTGCGTCCGGCTGCATGGTTAAACCCAATTTTAAACAACACTTAGAAGTAATATAATGCTTTTGTGACCCGGGGTCCAATAAGCAGCGAATGACAACATCACTCCCATTACGAGCAGTAGCAAATACCTTGGCAGTAGCAAGTACTTCAGTCACATACGGCTGCTCATGAATGGACGATGAAAGCGTGCATAACGACTCCTTGTCTCCACCAGTGGTGGTTTCAATAGGAACGGGAGTTGGTTCTAATCGTGTCTGTTGTGTGGGTTGTGTGTGCGCAAGCGGAGGCAATTGCGACGAAGAAGATGGTGGTAATTGGCGACCTTGCGTAGAAGATGTCTGTGCGTTTTTCGTACCCTGAGATACTTGCGTAGGTGCGGAATTATTATTTTTAAAACAAAGCAACGTATGATGTCTCGGATTGTTACAATTTCGACAGGCGGAAGTTGATTGACAACTGAAAGAGTTATGTTGACTACTTAGACATCTAGTACACATACGGTTAGTTTTAATATAATTAAATCGATCATTAATTGTGAAAGTTGAAAATTGTTTGCATTTATATAATTGAGAATGTGAATCACCTTTACATAAGGAACAATAAATGCGTTGCGTAGGATTAGTACCTAAAAATGTACGTGGCGATCGAGCGATCGATCGTTGATGCGACTGTGCACGACCACTGGCGGACGCGGCGGCGGGACCGTCCAACTTGGTGGCGGCAGCGGCGCCGGCGGTGCGGTTACACGTGCGTTGTAATATTTTTACGTGTTGACGTATAAATTTTATAAAATTTTCAAACTGCGGTATGTCATCTTCTCCTCTAATTGATGACTCATACGACTGCGCGGTAGCCTGATCTAATGCCTTTAATCCCATATAAATAAATATAAAATCATCCAGCTTTTCAATTTTAAGTTGCTTTAATGCTGCGATAGTCGACGAGAAAGTATCAATAAATTTTTCTAAGTTTATTGCCGAAGGACCGTTAATTGATTTTAAAGAAAATAATTTATCTAAATATGACGTTGCAAGAGAGCGTTTATCTTGATACTTGTCGATTAAAGCTTGCCACAATATAGGATAATTTTCGGCTGCTGGTACTAAGCCAGCACACAGATTTCTAGCCTTTCCTGACAGGTGACTCATAAGATAATGAAAACGTTCTGAGTCCGAAAAGGATTCATTGTCATGAATAACCTGTTTGAATGTTTCGTAAAAGAAAGGAAATTCTAAAATATCACCTGAGAAGACTGGTAACACAATTTGGGGGATCCTTACTGATCCCTGTTTGTTGTCTGGTAAAGCAGACTGACAAGCGGGAGCTGGAGTTCGCGAAGATTGAGGTTGTAACGAGACCGCCATCATCTTTATAGAATAAAACATTTCGTCAAAGGCGGTGAGAGATTGATAATTAACTACATAATCAGGGTTTAGTTCCAAATTAAGGAGAATAATTTCATCGACAATTTTAACATACTCGGTGCGCATTTGATCGATCAGGCTAACTTTTGCAATAAAAACATTACGATGTTTCTCCATTTTAGTTTTCGAAGATAATTCATAAATAGACTGAAGTTGCGAAAAATATTGTGCACGTTTT